TGGCACACAGACTGCAGGCAGCAGAGGAAGGTGGCGCAGAGCAGGGAATACAAGCTTCTACAGGAGTAGGCCAACAGAGGCAGACTCTACACATGTTCCTTTGCCGCTTCTGCTCCTTCTTTTCCACTCCACGGAGATGGGGTGTTAGATTAGGAGGAGGAAGTGTTCTGAGCCTGAGGATGTTTTCTAAGCCCTGGCAGGTTGTAAATCTGAGGGGTGGGCTGGACTGTATTGTGATCCTGGAAGTGTTTGGTGAGAGAGGGCTCTGTGCCATGGAGAAAGTAAGTAGATAGAAAGAAGAAGGGTTATTAGCCTAGAGGATAGGGTACAATGAAGGGGTGCGAAGAGGTGTTTTGGGGCAGGTGGGGGTTGCAGTGTCACAAACTCTCATGATTTTATAGCAAGTCCCATGATATCTGGTGATTTTCATAAAACCCCAGCTTCGGGAATTACTTGACTTACGTAAAAATCTAAGATTTCGTTTTTAAAATAATTAAAAGCAAGTTTCTGAGCTTCGTGGTTGTGGAGGCTCCACAACCAGAGGGCAAATAAAAAATCCCAGCTTTATTATTTTTAAAATCTCATGGTTTTTAAGCCAATCTCATGGGTTGGGGAGGCGGAGTTGTGGCCTTGACTCATGATTTTTGCATGCTTCAGTTTGGCAATACTCTGGTTGGATTGGAGGGAGCTGAGGTGGCTTGAGGGTGTTCTCAGTTAGGAGGGGAAGAGTTTGGGTTGGCAGGGTTAAATGGAGTCAGATGCTGGATTAGGTTGTAGGTGAACTGTGCATGGATAGGGAGTGGAGTTGAAAAGTAGGTTGGATGGAGAGAAGTTGGGCCTAACAGAGAACAGTAAAGGGACCGCATTACCCATTAACATCTGAATTTTTCATTCTGAAACAGAGAGAGAGAGTTGGAGAGGAAGGGAGGAAGTGTGTGTGCAGATTGCTACCTGCAACCCCACCTCTAATTTGGGGCATGTCTGCCACTGCTACTATAACAGCATTATTTATTCAGTTTGACCAAAACTCCTCAGGTAATAAAATGAAGTGGCTGCTGAGATGGAAGTTGTCCTTTTGCCCACCACAGCTTTTTCATGTACAATAATAGCCCAGTACTAAGAGCATAGATTCCACTAAGCTGCCAAGTGTGTTTATGGGTACATCAGCTGGATTTGCAGGAGTGGAATTGCTGTCGAATCTAAATTTAGATGTAGATTGGCTGCTTTGAAATCATTATCTGTTAGCTAAATTCTGCTGTTTGGAAGCTTAGAAAGTGTGAGTCATAGGATTAAAAATATTTAACTGTGTATGTATTTTTACAGAAATAAATGTTCATCACTTGCAAACTCTCTAAAAGGGGTTGGAGGCATGTTAAATAGATATTACGGCCAACAGATTAAAACATACTATTAAGAAAAAAATTGAGAAGGATAATATGGTAGAAAAAAACAAATGAAAAGTAAAGAAGACTAAAATAGTCAAGAACTGAATGCAAACGGACTAGAATTGGTTGGGGGGGGGGGGGGTTATTATTATCTAAAGGTGAAAACAAAAATATCTATTTTCCAAGGAAGTTTTTGTATTAAAAAAATAACAAAAACAAAATTTTGTTATGCAGACTGATTCTTCTTTACAAGAAAAAAAGCTGACTCAGCTGTCTGTCTAAATGGGCACTTGAAATCCAGTAAGGAAATGAATGCTGTCTGCTTTGGTCCAGCAGTTTGTGATGTTCTCATTTCTTAAAAAAAATCTGCTTCCAACATGTGGATTGTACCCAGGCAGTGGAGCAGCAGAACTAATGAGGGATAAAGCAATTTGTATTAAAATCTTTTCCTTCCCCCCTCATAAATGTTCAGATACTACTTTTTTGTTTGGTTGTTTTTAGTACATATTTTTCTGCGAGAATAAATATAAAGTCTTGAGTTTACTGATTGTATGAAACAGTTTTACAAAATTCCTGTGACAAATACTTTATTAAGTCTGGCAAGTAAAATTTGACATGGCTGGTGTAAAATGTGGGTATGAATTTAGTTAAGTGGTCCCCTGCCATAGTCACTGAATATCATTCAACCTTACATACCTTATATCAAGTTCATATTCTTTAGACCTTGAGGGTGTCTATTTGCCCATAGCATTATCAGTTCTCACACAAAATACTCATTCTTCCCTCTCCTGGAGTGCAGTCTTTACATGTGGCTGGGCCAGTGTTTCCAACACCTTTTTTTTTACCCTTAATGAGGAGTGATAAGACAGAATAATTTCAGTGCTGGCCTTAACTGATGGATCTGAAAGCCCAGAAATCAAAGAGATTGATCAGGCTGGTGCCAGGGAAGGGGAATAAGAGGCTTGGTATTGAGGCTAGAAACCTTCCAACTTCCCAGTGCAGCCAAGCAGTCAGAGATCTTCCCACCCACCTTCTGATGGATCTTGGGGATGGAGTGTTCTGTATTGACAGAGAACAGGACATAAGTTAAGGTATGGGATAACAGTCTTAGCAGCTTTTTATGCTCTAATGTGCTATGTCCCTGACTGTGCAGGTCCTTTTAATAGCAATAGTGCATGGATGGAGGAGCAGTGGTGGGCAGAAGTTGTGGGAAGATAGTATAAAATTCTGAGGCCCTAAGTTATTGACCTCAGAATATTGTCCCAAAATTAGTTTCAAAGTGGGTAATAGGAGAGGGCTCTGGCAGATGTCAATGATACCACTGGTGGGAATAGGTATGAAGAACCTTCTCTGGGGGTCACAGTTCCTGCCACATGGAATGACCTGGTGAAGGTATTTGCTTTTGGGGCACTGGGTCTCTGGGGAAATTAGATGATGGCTGTATCTGTAGGCAGTCGGAGCCTTGTGGTTTGCATTTGGGAGTACAGGGATCTGGGATGCCAGGATATGTTTTATTTGTCAAGTAAATTAGTTAATACGTATGCAACTGCATGCTTTTAAATTTATACTGGCTTTATGTGAGGTTTTCTGGACTGACGACAAGAGGATGGACAACTGTGTGGATGGTGCAGGCAGACAAGGCCAGATTGTGACCTTCTCTTTCCTGAGTTGCAGCAGATGCTGAGGCCAATCTTGTGAATCCGGCCCTAAATTTATGCACTTATTCCTTCAAAACAGAGACCCAAAAGTATAATCCAGACTCTTCATTCCCTTCAAGCCCTTTACCCCATTATACTGTATCAAAACTAACAATCCACTTTTTTACAGCCTGTTATGTGCTGTATTTCTTCCGGACTACCATTTTGCATCATAGAAATGAGTGCATGATTGTTGTATTTGTATAGTTGATGCAGCACTCTAGGTCCTTCAAGAAGAAAGGTGATATATCAGTGTAAGATGTTGTTAGTGGTGGTGTTTTAAGCCATATATATGGTCAGCACCATATTTTTACAGAATGACTCTAGCAGTCTCACATAGAACCTGCTAGAGTGAGATTTAACTATCGAGAATATAATAATGGGCACTTTTACTTTTTTAAGGTCTGATTTGTGTTTTATCGGAAAGATATTCTGAAGTTCCAAAGGGTTTGACTTTGGAATAAGGAGATTGACATTGTGTGTCATGTTAGAGGTGTAATAATTGTCTGGACTTTGAAAGTGACTTTGTGTTTTAAAGTAATGCTGTGCTCATGCACTGCATAAAGTATCATGTGACATTAAGAAATACATCATAGTTCTCAATTCTTCCTCAGCTGGAAGAATATTATTGCCCTTAATACCTATTGTGATTCATAGCTTCTTATGTAAAGATACTGTCATTAGTTTGGCGGCTTTTTCCTTATCTTTTTTAATAATCCTGTGTAACTGAGTGGCCCTCACAGGCACCCCTTGGTGATCCCTTGCCTCAGTTTCCATTTTGAGTTCCCAGAAACTCTATGGAAGCATGTTCTCAAGTCAATCAATATAACTTATTAACCAAACATAGTGCAAAAGTCCCAGAGCATAGTCCATATTATCCCAGTGCAAGGAGTCCTTAGAATCACACATCCTCTTGGCCATTTACATAACACATACTTGGTTCCAATGTCTTCTGCCACACCCAGACTCGTTGCAAATCCTCCTTCATCCCTCTACCAGAACAGCCACTCTAGCCCTTCCTTCTGGGGTCAACCCCACTCTTCCCAGCGGGATCTCCCACAGCCTCTCAATTCGGACCCTCTCTTAGGCCTCAGCTCTGCAGCAAAGAAACACCAGTGAGTAAACCCCTCTGCTGCTCCCCCCTCCTTCAGACCACTCTGACCCTTGTCTCTGGCTCTCTGTCTTAGAGCCAGCAGGCATTTCCCTCTGCTGCTCTTCCTGACATCAACCCTCTCCAGCTCTCGGGGGCAGGGGAGAGGAGAACACCAACAAGAAAACCCCTTGCTGCACATCTGCCTTCAACCCTCTCCCAGGAACCTCTCTTTGGCAACTCGCATCTCCTGCTCTGTCTCCTGACTCACTCAGTCTGCTCTGACACACTGGATCTCACCTGGTCTCCTAAAGCCCCCTACGTGCTACCCTGCCTCTTAGTTGGCCCATCTTGGAACATGTGGACTGAAACAGGAGAGCTGCACCCAGTTTCATTTAACTGCACCCCTTCCCTCCTGTTACATCCTGTCTTCCCTTTCTGATGTCCAAGCAGAAATATTTGTTTACTGCTCAGTGCAGAAAGGTTCTTATTTAACCATTCTGTATCTAAGAGTTGTCCGTCTTTGTTATTTTATTATAACAAAATTCATGTTTATTAAAATATCTTATAACGCCTGTGCATGCTGTTACCTAACTTGATAAACAAGTCTCCTAAATCCTGAGATATAAAATGTCTAGCTAGAGTGCTGCATTATTTTATTAAGAGTCAGTTGGGGTTTTTTTGCTAAATGAAAAGTGTGTTGGAGACTAGTAACCAAAAGATAGCTTAATAAAATCTCTTCAAGCACTAATATTAATGACCAGTTAACTTTCACATCATGAAAGCAGGTCAGATCTCACCTGTTCCTTGTTATAATGTTCAATGCAGGTTCTACATGGTCAGCTATTATGAGCGGAGTCACAGAATAGCAGTTGGAGCTCGCCATGGTTCAGTGGCCCTGTACGACATCCGGACTGGAAAATGTCAGGTAAATAAATCATTGTGACTTTCTCCCCACAGTGTGTATGGAAGTTATTGAAAGGAAAGAGAGACTAGCTCTGCGCCAGTTGACATGCTGAGCTGCTGGAACATTATGGAGAATGCTAAGGGGATCAATAGTTTAATGAAGGACTCAAAGTATATAGAGCCCTACTGTCTTCATTCACTGTGACTGAATGGCTGCCATAGATGGGTTAATAACAGAAACCCCAAATAAGGTGTTACTTGTGACAAACTCCTCTGAAATAAATCTCTTGTATTTGAATTCTGATTTTATATTTGTCTGATTTTCAGTATAAAGAAAATTTACTGGTTATTTTTTTCTACCATTCCCCTTTATAAAATACACCGGTATTTCAATTATATTAACTTTTCTGGTATTAAACAAAATGTGTAGTTAGAAGAGCATGATAATATCAACCCAAAACAATAGGTTGCATAGTCAGGTTATGCTTCAGGGTAAATTTTTCAGTCTTTATATTGGAATGATTAGGACTTAGTTCAATATTATTTTGTAGTTGATAATTTTTTCATAAAATAGAATTGTTCATATTCTCTCTTATTATTGGTAATATGTTAAAGCCCTGGTAGAATTCCAAAAGCTGTTAGATTAAATGTAAACTAATTATTTTAACTAGGGCTGTCAATTAATTGCGGTTTTAACGCAAATAAGTTAACTAGATTAAAAAAGTTAGTCATGATTAATTGCAGTTTTGATCCCACTGTTAAACAATATAATATCAATTTAAATTTATTATAAATATTTTTGGATGCTTTTCTACATTTTCAGACATATTGATTTCAATTACAACATAGGATACACAGTGAACAGTGCTCACTTTACACTATTATTTTTATTACAAATATTTTCACTATAAAAAAGATAAAAGAAATAGTACTTTTCAATTCACCTCATACAAGTACTGTGGTGCAATCTTTATCATGAAAGTACAGCTTACAAATGTAGACTTTTTTTTACATAACTGCTCTCAAAAACAAAACAATGTAAAACTTGAGCGCCTACAAGTCCACTCAGTTCTATTTCTTGTTCAGCCAGTCACTCAGACAAACAAGTTTGTTTACATTTACAGGAGATAATGCTGCCCGCTTCTTATATACAATGTCAGCTGAAAGCGAGAACAGCATTTGCATGGCACTGGTGTAGCCGGCGTTGCAAAGTATTTATGTGCCAGATGTGCTAAACATTCATATGCCCCTTCATGCTTCGACTTGTAGATTTTTTTTTAAATCTTTTTTATAGTGCAAATATTTGTAATCAAAAATAATAATTAGGGCTGTCAATCACAGTTAATGCATTCAATTAACTCAAAACAAATTAACGCATTATTTTTTTAACGAGCGTTAATCACACAGCAGGCTGACGTGCTCAGGGGAGGCACTGCTGCGTGTTTCTGGGGCACGGGTGCCCCTCCTCCCGCTGCCCTGTTCCACTGCTGCTCCCGCCTTATTTCCCCCCTACCCATGGAGCCACCCCCTGGCCAAGCTGCTCCCGACTGGGAGCCTGCCTCCTGTTTGCTGTGAAGAACGGAGATGGGGGGTTGATGTCGAGGTGTTTCCCCTCCCCTCGCCCATGTACCCTGTCGCTGTTGAGCTGGGATTGGGGAACAGGGGGAGCCTATCCGCTGCTGGCTCAGGAGTGACTGCTGCCAACAGCAGCTGCAGCAGGCTGAAAAAGCATTCAGGCTCCTGAGTGCAGTGCTTAAAGAGATAGCGCTCCCCCAACACACACACGCACTTCCCCCCCAACACACACACACTTCCCCCAAACACCAAAAATGGTATTCTGTTATAGTTTAACAGTGCAATTAAAATGGCAATTAATCACAACTATTTTTTTAATCTCGCAATTAATTATGATTATTTTTTTTAATCATTTGCCAGCTCTAATTTTAACTACTTTTTGTTTTGTGTTTTTTATTTGCTCTTTCTAATTTTGTGTATAAATATAATGCTGCGTGTAGTTTCCAGATAGACAGCGGTGGAGTCTGAAATCCTCTGTTTATTTATAGAACAGGAAAACAGCAAAGACAATGGTACATTTCCTCATGCTTCCTCACCTCTTACCTGGAAGGACTACCTCTAGGAGTAAGAGGATAGTTCAGTGTCCATTCCCAGCATCTGATCCTTGACTTCTCAGCTGAGATTACTAGCAAGGTTGTCATTTGTGGTAGTATTTATTACGTGAACATCTGTCCATTGGGAATTGGTTTGAGTCTGAGATCACCAAATTTCTTTTACAAAGAGCCATATGATGGCAACAGACTTTATCAGCTGACAACCTAGAGGTGAAAGCCTCCACTTCCTATTTCTAATCCCCTCAGCCATCAGCTCCTTTACATATCCTGTTTGGCTTAAATATTGAATCAGTTCCATAAGACTTGCAAAGCTTTAGTAACATACAGATCAGACTGACAGTTGACATTTTTAAAGTGATTTGTTTGTAATATCACCTGAAAGCTAAAGAAATTACTAGCTCTGATTATGTAAATCTCCTGGCCTTTATGGAAGGCTGGCCTGGATTTTAATCATTGATTGTGTTCCATCACTACAAACTGTGAGTTATTTTCAACCCTGTTATCACATGAGCCTTGACGTATCAAACCATGGAAGGCTGTTTGATCTGGATAATGTTATTTCTTGCCTAAAGAAGCTATCCCATTCTGCAGTTTTCAGACCTTGGCTACGGCCTACCTTCTCACTGCAAAGGCACGGTCAGTTCCTTCCTTTTCTCTCAAAATATGTTTTCTTGACCCTCTTTGCCAAGCGTGCTATGAACATTGCATCACTTTCCACTCCAACCATTCAGCAATCAAGGTCATAGTATGGCTTTGTATTGAGCATTTCTGTCCATTCAGAAACTCGTCATGACATCTTTGTTGTGTACTTGGTTTCACTGGAAGCTGGGAGTGAAAAACCCCAAATAACCTCTAAGTCTGGTTCTTTCTTGCCTGTGGGCTAGTCCATATACATTTTATGCTAATTTTTAAGTATTTAACCATCCACTTCACTATAGCTCTGTTGTGCCTGTATATTCCCATTTAAGGAAAATGACAACGTACCCAATTCTTTAATTTAGCTATTACATTTGTCCTTCACTTTGAATTTTTAAATTTTCAACTTTGTATTCATTTACTAAAATGACTCCTGGATAAACACATGGGTATTTTTATTTCTGAAGTAACTCTAATTTTGGGAAGTATGTCCCCACAATAGGATTTCCAAAATGTGCCATAAAATGTCTTAAATTATCTACTGGTCTAAAATAGTTAAAAAGCATCAGAGGTGTTGATAGACAGGCTAGTTAAGTGCTTACAGCTACATGTATGCGTGTGGTTGCATCTGCAGTTAAAATCTTCCCCCTGGATTGGTTTGCCCTTGGTTTGGCAGACATGCTAAAGTATCTTATCTTGCTGATATAGTGCCCTCTCCCCCCCCTCATTCTTTTAAAATGCATTCTATATAATAACCATTGGCTATGTTGAAAGAGATTGTCTCTGGCTAATGTTTGCAAGTCATTTATCTATAAACACCCTGTTTTTATTTTTAGTTGACATTTTAATTGTATTAGATTACTGGAACCTAATCCCGATTTGTTTCAATAAATGGTTTGAAGAATACTGTAGTTAATTGAACATTTTAGTAGAATATTTAAGACCACCATTCAGTAACAGATTTAAAGGTGGCAATTTTGCAACAGAAGAGCTTCAAAAACAGACTCCAACGGGAAACTGCTGAACTTGAATTGATATGCAAACTAGATACTATCAATTTAGGCTTAAATAGAGACTGGGAGTGGCTGAGCCATTACACACATTGAATCTATTTCCCCCATGTTAGGTATCCTCACAGCTTCTTGTCAAACTGTCTTAAATGGGCTATCTTGATTATCACTACAAAAGTTTTTTTTCTCCTGCTGACAACAGTTCATCTTAATTAATTAGCTTCTTAGAGTTGGTTGGGCAACTCCCACCTTTTCATGTTCTCTGTATGTATATATATCTCCTTACTATATGTTCCATTCTATGCATCCGATGAAGTGGGCTGTAGCCCACCAAAGCTTATGCTCTAATAAATTTGTTAGTCTCTAAGGTGCCACAAGTACTCCTGTTCTTTATGCGGATACAGACTAACACGGCTGCTACTCTGAAACCTGTTTCCTTACTATCCTTCAGACTCTAAATAAATCATGTGAAGGGGCAGATAACTTTGGTTGGCTGGAAAGGGCATCCAGAGTAATTAAATATGACCATTTGCAGTTTTGATTTTTTTAAAAAGTATGTCATAATGTCAGAAAAATTTGCATCACAAATATGAGAAATGATTAGGGGGGAAAACAAAAGCCATCAGTTGACTTTAGGCTTCATGTTCAGAATCTGATCCTTTGAGGTGCTCCTCATCCCATATCCCCTATGGAAAGGTGCTCAACATTCATGGACTCAAACCCCTCCATTTCTTAATATAGATAATTTTACTACAGCTAGAAAGAACCCTCTGTGATGCGGAAGAAGAGGGGAAAAGAAGTGGGGCAACAGGAGAGAGGTTAGCTTACTGAAGAGCAGAGGAGATATTTATAGGCTTTGACTGGCTCTAAGGCTGAATCCTGTAACATTTTTTAAAAGAGGAAAATATCTACCATCAGACAGGAAGGATGGGAAATATTGAGAAAGACAGTAAAAAACAGTCCTCTCCAATTTCCTCTTTCACTTTGCCTATTTAACATATTTTAGTGAGGGTATTTTGATCCTGAGATAGTTATTAAAATGGTGCCTGATTTACAGATTGAGGATGAACAGAATAGTCTTCCCAGCAATGAAAATAAGGAGTAGTCTGATGACAATCTTATATTATTCCAATTTAAAGATTTAACAGTTACATATTTATAAGGGCTCTTCTGTCTGTCTCTATGGAATTATAAAGTACACACAGAAGGTGTTTGAACACTTACTTGAAGGATGCTTCAAGAATCCA